TCAGCAGTTAACAGAGGATACTACTCTTACAGAGGACCTGAGTTCAGTTACTAGCGCCCACATAGGGAAGCTTATGACCTCCTGTTTAACTGCACCTGCAGGAGAAATGCTGTTCTCTTCTGGGCTCCACAGGCACTTCACTCCCATTCATATGCCTACACACACACACACACACACACACACACACACACACACACACACACACACTGCGGGGGGCCATCCTGTCCAGCAGGAATGAACGCCACCAAAAACGAGAATTCCTTCTCTGGTCACATCTTTATTTGGAGCATTCCCTTGAGGAAAATTGGGGGAAGGGAAGATAGAGCAGGGACGAGAGAAAGCTTAGAGAGAGAGCGTTGGGCCCCGAGGCAGCTGCTTTTAAACGGTGGAGAGGCTTGAACGCTGTCCTGATTGGTTAATGCCATTCTGATGGTCTGAGCATGTGCAGGCAAGGGTGCAGGCAAGGGTGCTCAGCCCCACGTGGCTACCTCCAAACTGCAGGACCACCTGTGCCTCCAGGTGGCTCCCAACAACACACATAATTAAAATTTTGAAACAATCATTTAAAAAAATGTAAAAGCCCTTTCTCAGTTTACAGGGCTTGAACAGCAGACAGCAGATTGGAGGTGGCCTACAAGTTATGGTTGGTAGACCCTAGTCTAACCTAAATGAACTGCCCTCTTCATTGTCGTCATTTAGGATGACTGCGGTAGAGGTGTACTGCTCTCTGAATCTGGCAACTTCTCTTTGCATCTCTGAAAAGCAATGGATAGTTATGAGTATGACCTGCCATCTGACTGAGCAAAGTTGAACCCTATAGATCCATGACAAGGGTGACCCTGAAAGCAAAGACTATGCTGAAGGAAGGAACCTTATAGAAGATAGTTCTAAAGAGGAGCTCACGAAGTCTCCAAAGCATAGAGGAAATCAAATGTCATGAATAATTACAAAGAACTAGAAATAATCAGAGTTGATCATTCAAGCAGAGAAGTTACCAAGGGAGTTAAATAATAGAGAAACAGAGTTATAGAGCAAACTGTGAACTGAGAGAGTTCAAAAGAGAAGACCAAACTATAGAGCAGAAAGGGAAAGTGTCACACTAAATAGAAGTGAAGAATCCAAACATAAACTGGATTTCAAATGATAATTTCTTACCCATTTAAATAATAAATAGTGTGAAGTAAATAACAAGTTTCTATGAACTCTGAGTAGTTACTCATTCTTGAGTGATACTGTTATTTTTCACTTTGATCCCATCTTTCCTGTCTGCCAACTCTCTACTAACAATGTCTTCTCTGTGTTAAGATTATTCCTTTGTAGGGTGACTTCTTGGGAACAAGGAGGGGTTAATTAGCATAAATAGGAAGGAATTGGGGGAGGAAATGAAAGATGCATAATTGTCATGAATAAATTTGTCAAAGAATAAAAAGAAAGGATGGCTCCTTTGAAGGCTGAGGAAATTGCTGCTCAGTGGACAAAGTGCTTGCAGTACATGCATGAGGACCTGAGTTCAGATCCCCAGAATCTAAATAAAAGTCAGACAAGTAGCATACATCTGGAAAACCAGCACTCCCATAGTCAGCTGCAAGGCAGAGGCAGAAGAATCTCCAGCAACTCATGGGCTAGCTAGTCTGGCATATGCAGTGGCAAAAAAAGAAGTTCTGCCTTAAAAAGCTCAACATCCACAACCATCAGAGAAAAGGAAATCGAAACAACTCTGAGACTCCATCTTATACCTGTAAGAATAGCTAACATAAAAAACACTTATGACAACTGGAGAGGTTGTAGGGTAAAGGAAAAACTTCTGCATTGCTGGTGGGAATACAAGCTGGTACAGCCCCTTTGGAACTCAGTGTGGCAATTTCTCAGAAAATTAGGAAACAACCTTTCTCAAGACCTAGCAATACCACTTTTGGGTATATACCCAAAGGATGCTCAATCATACCACAAGGACACGTGTTCCACTATGTTCATAGCAGCATTATTTGTCATAGTCAGAACTTGGAAATAACCCAAATGCCCCTCAGCCGAAGAATGGATGAAGAAGATGTGGTACATTTATGCAATGGAATACTACACAGCAGAAAAAAATAATGACATCTTGAAATTTGCTGGCAAATGGATGGATCTAGAAAACATCATATTGAGTGAGGTAACTCAGACCCAGAAAGACAAATATCATATATACTCACTCATAAGTGGCTTTTAGACATAAAGCAAAGAAAAACCAGCCTACAGTTCACAATCCCAGAGAACCTAGACAACATGAGGAACCTACGAGAGACATACATGGATCTAATCTACACGGAAAGTAGAAAAAGGCAAGATTTTCTGAGTAAATTGGGAGCATGGGGACCATGGGAGAGGGTAGAGGGGGTGGGGAGAGGAAAGGAGGGGAGCAGAGAAAAATGTAGAGCTCAATAAAATCAATTTAAAAAAAAGAATTCCTGCCTTAAATGAGGTAAAAGTCAGGGACCAACACACACACACACACACACACACACACAGAGAGAGAGAGAGAGAGACAGAGAGAGAGACAGAGAGAGAGACAGAGAGACAGAGAGACAGAGACTTTAAAAAATAATTGTTACTTTGTAAAAGAAAAATCAATAAGAGTTTTCTAAAATACTAATTAGAAAACATAAATTTATGCTATAATAGTATACTATTAGCTGATAATTAAGACATGCGTTTGTGTCAAAGGAAAACTAATATGACCCTTTGTGCACTATTGAACTTTCAAAGTAATATTCAGTAGCTTTGGTAGCCTTAGACTACTTCCTGCTCTTACTGCTTTTGAATGCCATCTCTTTCAAGGTTAAGTCCTGGGAAACATAATTTCTGTGGTGGTTTGAAAGAAAATGGACCCCAGAGGGATGGCACTATTAGGAGTTGTGGCCTTGTTGGAGTAGGTGTGGTCTTATTGGAGGAAGTGAGTCACTGAAGAGGCCGGCTTTGAGGTCTCATGTATGCCCAAGCCATGCACAGTGAGACAGTTCCCTTCCCGTTCCTTGCAGAAGCTGTAGAGCTTTTAGTTACCGCTCTAGCATCATGTCTGTCTGCACGCCACCGCGTCCCACCGTGATGATAATGGGCTAAACATCTAAACGTCAAGCCACCCAATTATATGTGTTTTCTTTATAAGAGTGCCCCCTCACCCCTTGCTACCTGTGGCAGGCTTGAAAACTGACCGAGTACCTCACCAACTGCAGCGCTAGGGAGATCAGGCCTCGTACCATGCCTGGGAAGGACAGCGGAATTGACCCTGTTGACAGGGGCACAGGGGAGTTGTCCTGAGAAAATGAGCGTGGAAGATCCAGCCCCACCCCTCATCTACCGGATGGTGGTGTGGGCCATGGGGGGGGGGAAGTCTTCCACCACTACCGCCTGCCTTTCACTACCTGTGGTATGTAAGAGAGCTGACCCCGAGATCGTGAGAACCAGTGAGCTGCCTGGCACCTCACCGGCTGCGGCACTCAGGAAAGCAGGAAAGCGGGCCCTGCACCTCACCTGAATAACATAGTAATGCTGACCCTGGCAAGTGCACGGGTGAGCAGCCCCTAGGGTGTGAGGGTAGCAGAGCTGGCTCCACTACTCCTCTGTCGTGTGGTAGGGTGGGCAAGGGAGAGATGCCCCACTGCTCTTCACCCCCACCACCCGCATCAGGCACGAGAGCAGGCCCCTGGGTCATGAGAATTGAAGGGCTGGCGCTGCAGAGTCCTGGTCCGTACTTCTACGTGCACTATAGCGCCTGTACTACGCACAGGAAAACAGTGGTTTGGCTCAGAGCCGCTGCAAGCATAGGAAAAACAAGTTGTTTACAGGAAATTCAGGGTCTGGGGGTCTGAGGGTCTGCAGTTCCCAGCACTGCAGCACGCAGGGTAGGAGGCCCTACACCTCACCTAGGCAGTACAGTAGTGCTGACCCTGCTAGCGGGGTGCTAGTGAGCCTGCTCTGAGGTCATAATAGGGGGACTGGCCCAGAATCCCTTGTCTGCCATGTGGTGGCAAGGGTGAGGGAAAGATGTCCTTCCCTTCCCCACTAGCCACCAGCAGCAGCTCTCTGGAGAGCCAGACCTGCACCCCACCCATGCAATCCAAAAGAGCTGACTCTATCCATGGGGATGCAGGTGAGCTGGCCCCAAGCAATGAGATGAGAGATGAACATGTGGCCTCGTCTTTTACCTGCCACAGTGACTTGAGCAGGGAGGAGATTCTCTCTCTCTCCACACACACACACACACACACACACACACACACACACACACGCACGCACACACGCACACCTCACTGCCTGTGGCAGGGGGGAGAGCTGGCCCTGCCTCTCTCAGGAAAGAAGACCCTGTATCTCACCTGAGCAATCCAGCAATGCTGGCCCTGTTGGTGGGTACAAGGGTGACAAGGGTGAGTGGCCCTGAGGGTGTTAGGGTAGCAGAGCTGAATGGCCCCTGCCCCTCTCTGCTGAGCAACAAAGTAGAGTGGCCCTGGTGGTGTAGGCATAGGTGAGCCTGCCCCCAGGGCATGAGAGCCTGAAGAACTGGCCCTGCCCCTGGATGCTCACTGCATAGGGTGAGCTACCTGGGTGGTGCTAGAGGGCTGATCCTGGTGTTGAGCATGAGAGAGAACTGGTGGGCTGACCAATCCAACAACCATCCAGGACCAGAACTAGGACTATGAGTTGGCCAATCCCAACATCCACCCCTATATAAGAACTGTTGGAGCATGTGAAGGGGCCAGCCCTGCAGTCCCAAAGTTGCAGGATCTCCAGGACACAGGACAACAGCAGGATTTCCAAGAGGAGTTCCCAGTGAGGGCCCAGTGTTGATAGTGTAGCAGAAACTAGAGGCCTCGAACCAGACCAACAATTCTCTGCAACGAACACTTGCAAATAAAGATGTATGGACCCAAGGGTACACTGTGCGGCTCACTGTGTCGCACTACAGCTTCCACGATGAGATTTTTCTTTTCTTTGAAATTTTATTTGTTTTATTTTAGGGGGAGGTTGCCAGGGCAGAAGGTGGTTACAAAGGGACAGGGAGATCAGTGGGATCAAGATGCATAATGCGAAATCCACAAAGAATCAAAAAGTTTAAAAAAGCAAAAGCAAATCCCAACCAATCAAACAAAACTGTCAACATAATCACATATCTGTGAATAAAGTCAGTTTGTTCCATTCTTTCAAAAAAAAAAAAGGTTCCCACGGACGTGGTGTCTCTTCACAGAAATAGAAACCCCAGGATGCTCTCTGTTCTTGTAGGTCAATCAGTAGAGGCCAAGAGAAAGCAGTCAGTACCTTCCGCTCGTTTTGATCCGCACTTAGCTTCTCCTCTACTGTTGGAACACAGTCCAAGAATAAAGTCTTGCGAGGAAATTTCTTAGTGCGTGCGAAAAACTCAAAGAAACCAAGACAAGAGTCTTGTGACCTCAGCTTCTTCCAAAACACAGAATTGGTCTTGAATGGTGCTTTCGTGCCTCTCCCAGCTGCAGCAGACAGGAGTGAGTTTACTTTAGGTTATTCATTACAACTGGCTATTGTTATTTGTCCATATGCCTCTATGGGAAAACGTGTTTCTGCCACATGCCGTGTGCCCAGCACATGCAGCGTATCCCTGTGATTGGACACTTTACTCAACTGACCCTTTTAACCCTTGGAGTATAACTCCTCTGATGCTCTGAAGAAGGGAACTCTTGCATGTGACCTTCGTCTACCTCATTTATCAACTGCATTCTGTCAAGCCCCGCTGCCTCTAGAGCAGTAAACACTCTATTACTGTCCTCTTCTCTGAAGATAGGGCACTGAAGTGTTGTTACTTGTGGATGTGTGTGTTCATGCACATGTGTAAAGTATGTATGTGGAGACGAGAGGACAAATGTACTTGCAATCTTCAGGATGCCATCTACCTGTTTTGAAACCGAGGCTGTCATCAGCCTAGAGCACATGGTTAGGCTAGGCTGGCTATCCGGGGAGCCCTAGGGATCCCATATCTCCTCGTTTCCAACACTGAGATTACAAATGTAAGTCACCATGCTTGAAACTTTTCTTTAGGGAATAAAGTAATATATTCTCGAGCCAAATACAAGTGACCAGACCTTAGGACCATGGATTCAGGCCACCCCAAGTAGTATGTTCCAACATGGTAACAATTTCCCAAGTTTTCTAGTAAGAAAGTCAAAAGCCAAGTACTTTTAAAATTCACTGGTAGGAACATGGGGTTCCTGGGTTACAGAAAAGTGGGGAAATCTTGCTGCAGGCTTCAGATGCTATCTACTGGCATTTTTAGCCTTTGGGTTGGTAGAAGCTAGCGTTTGTTAGTACTTGCAAAAGGAATTCACCTGACAGTCACGAGGCTGTCAGGTCAAACACAGAGACAGACAATGAATGGCTGTTGAGGAAGATAAAGATAACTTGAGATAATTTTGCTCAGGACGTGGAATATTCCAGCTCTCTATCATTTGTCAGCCTTGTAGAATCTTTAACACGGGTGAGGGCCTTTTAGAAAGTCAAGACTTCAGTTCAAAGTCCCCTCTTGAAGTAAACTTCAATGAATTAACTCTTTGTCTTTTTTTTTTCTGGGACGGCTTGAAGGAGAAATGTCTCATATAAGCTCATGCATTCGAACACCAGGCCTCCAGTCACAGGCACTGTTTGGGAAAGTCATGGAAACTTTAGGATACTTGCTAAAGAAGAATGTCACTGGGGACAAGCTTTGAAAATTCATAGCCCCATACACTCCTGTTTATCTCCCTGCACCTGTCACATTGCTGTGAGTAAAAGTTTTCTGAAATTTCTGCCTCCTGAGTTATGCTGGCCTCGCACGCCTGCTGCTGTGCCTCCTCTGCCATCTTGGATTCTATTCCTTGAGAACAGTAAGACAGAATTAACACCTTTCTCCTCTAGGGCGCTTTTGGAAAGGACACTTTATCATAGCAATAGAAAAGTAATTAATGCATTTGGCAAACTCTTTGCTCTGGCACGCCACTGGCATTCGTATACGGTTTTGTACTTTATGTTTCTCATGGCCACGTTTTCCTCCAGTGCTTGTAGCCGTGGCAGCTGGATGAGTGATTCAGAAGCAGCTGAGGGCCTCTGGCTAGAGCATCATCCTAGTGTGACCTGAAGGCTGCCTGGACTGTGACCTGCTGACGCTCATTGGTAGACAAACTAAGGAGCTACTTTCCACATCGTGCAGAAGGTCTTCCCTTCCGTTCACAGCTCCAAGTCTCCAGCCCAGGCAACTGTTGGGGAGGACAAATATCTCTAGATAAATCAGCTCAGGACTTGGAATATCCCAGCTCATCATAATCAAAAGATCTAGCCAGTCAGTCAGTCTTGTAGGAAAGAGAAGATGGCTTGCTATCGACTGTCGGGGTAACACACTCCTCAGGGAATACTCTTGTCTCAATGTGTGGCCTACTGAATATTTTCTTAGGAAACCATGTATGGTTTGTTACATGGGATAAGAGGTCCTCCTCCGTTCCTAGCGACACTTGATCAATCCCTGTTCCCAAAGGCATCTGCTAAGGATAAATGGCGGCACTGAATCATCATTGTCTTCTTATTCCTTCCAACTTGCAAACTAAAGTATGAATTTCTCAACGATGAACTGGGATCATCAGGTAAAGAATAAGGGGGCTTTAATGCGTCGAACGTGGACCTTTAAATGAGCACCACAAGAAGTTGGAAATAAAACAGGAACAAAGACATTAATCATCAAATTCAGATATTAAGGAATGTCAGAGGCTATGCATACACATTCATGAAAGCGTAGGCATCTATTGTGTGATAGACCTTTTTGGAGGAGGTGCAGCACACACATTTGCCAGACCTGAGTAATGATGGCACCAGTGTCTGATTTGGTCAACCAATGGGATTTTCATTGGGGTTAGTAACAGGGAGTATGGCTGAAGGGTTACTTCCAAGGAGCAGGGATAACTCAAAGGTAGCTGTATCACCAAAAAGTCCACCACAACATGGGTGAGGACTCCCCAAAACAGCTCTTTATACAGCAGATTGCAGGCAGCTCCACAGCCCACTAGAAACTGTTTACTCCAGTTCACTTTGTAGGTAGGGGCCTTCAAGAACTTCCAAGCTGCTGCTCTTCCTGAATACATGATCTTTTGTTTGCTATCTGTTTATCACCTGAGGCTCCTGAGAACTTCCCCTCTTTCCTGCAGCAGATGATTCAATTTGGAGGAAATGTTGCAATTCTGATGAACATGCCATAAATCAGTGTCTGAGAAAACAAATCAAAAAATAAATTTTAGAGGAAACTAAGGTACTGCTGCATAGCAAAGGAGAATCTCCATGGCAAGAAAATACAATCTAAGAACAAAATATTTAGAAACAAGTCATCTGATAGAAAGCTCACATGCAAAACACACATGGAACTCAACTCAATATCAAGGAAACAACACAATTCGTACGTGGGTAAAATATTTGAATAGACATTTTTTTTTGAGGTGAGCAATAACGAGGTTGAGATAGGGTTTATTTATGTAACCCTGGTTGTCTTGGAACTTGCTATATAGACCAGGCTGTCCTAGAACTCAAGGAGAACTGCCTGCCTCTGTCTCCTCTGGGGTTAAAGAGGTGCATCACCATACCTGGCAAGACATTGCTCAAATAAGACAAATGACTGTCCAGCAGGTATATGAACAAAACCCCCAGTGCTGCAAACTGTAAGAGAAATTAAAACCATAATGAAGTACCACTTCACACCTGTTTGGATTTGTTTATTTCTCGAAGACGAAAAATAAGTGTTGATGATGAATTAGATAAAAGGAGACCTTTGTACTCTGCTGGAAGAAGTGTAAGTCAATAGAACAATTATGCCGAACTGTACAGATCGTCCACACAAAAATTAACAAGAACAATCAGATGACCCCTCAAATCCCACTATGGGATATCCATCCAAAGGCCTTGAAGTCAGCATGGTAAAGAAACAACTACACTCCCATATTCACTAAAGCGTTAGTCACAGTATGTTAGTTGTCCAATCACAGGGTCATCAACTGCTGCGTGCATCAGTACAACGTATGCATATGTACATCATCACATACACATACTATGCAGTCTTAAAAGAAAAACAAAGAGGAAAACTCCTGTTATAAGCAACAGCATGAATAACCTTGGAAGAAACAATGCTAAACGCGAAGAGTCAAGCACAGAAAATCATAAAGCATATGACCTTGATCGTATGTGGGATCCGCAAAAGCTGAACTCTTACTGGTGTACTGTATTTTTGCTATCAGAGCGTAACTTGAATGCTTAGAATTGGTGGATATTCAGAATATGGGGCAAAGTACCATATCATTTCAATTACCTAAAGCGCAGTGAGTGCTATGTATTCACACATAGGAACCAGAAGTACACGACCAGCTGAATTAATTTTGACGGTGGCTTCTTTGCACTTTGTGGGGTTTGTTTCCTGTAATGCACATGTGTGTTAATTATTTTAGATTGTTGGGATAGAGTACCCGGACAAAAAAGCAGGTTTTGGAAGGATTTCACATGGCTTATATTTCTGGAGGGATAGAGTCCATCAAGGCAGGGATGGGCCGACTGATCACACGTCTTTCCCTAGGAGGAAGCAGAAAGAGAGAACAAGAAGTGGAGCCAGGCTATAAAACCTCAAAATGCCCCTCCCCCACCATTTAAGCACTTCTTCCAGGAGAACTCACCTCCTAAAGGCTCCACAACCTTGCCAAACACCACCAACAACTCGAGACCATGTGTGCAAATACACGAATCTATGACGGTCATTTTATTCAAACTATCACACATGTTAAATTAAAAATGTATTCTTTTCTTTTAAAAGTTAAATTGAGGTTAGGGATCTAGCTCAGAGGTAGAATGCTCCCACAGCATGCACAAAGCCCTAGGTTTGGCCCCTAACACGATTCAAGGGCATCCTTTGCTACACAATGAGTCTGAAGCTAACCTTGGCTATAAAGATAATGTCTCAAAAAAAAAAACAAACCATAATGGGGCTAGAAAGATGGCTCAGCAAATAACGGCTCTTGTGACCAAGACTGACAACCTGGGTGTGGTTCCTCAGAACCCACATGGAAAGGAGCACTGGCTCCTGAAAGATGTATTCTGACCTCCACAAACACATCATGGCTCATGAACCCACAATCATATGTGCACAGATAAACATAGGTAGAAATATTAAGACGAAATAAATAGGTAGTTGTAGCAACGTAGTAGGAAGTAGAGTGCTGAATGACTCAGGGCACTGCCTTTTTACAAGTAAGTCTGACTTTTAAGGAAAATGGAAATGGAAGATGCTTTCTCTGTTGTCTACTCTCAGAATTCCTTTCTCTGGCTTTTCTTCGACTCCCAGGCTCTGCTCTGTTCTAATCCATCGAAGGATAATTAATCAGTGAGAAGTTAGCAGAGTAAGTTGCCTAAGGAAGATCCTGAAATAAAGTATCCATGTCACAAAAGGAGACAAAACGTCAGGGGGAAGAATCAGTAACTGGAAATGACAGGACATAGGGTTGGCAGTGAGGTCCGAGTCCCATGAACCTACACTCTGTCTAGGTGATATTTCCCTATGCTTAGAAATCAGTCATTTATGGCTGAACTGATTTGATTTTTAATGTACCTCTAGGGATCCAGTTAGAAGAATTGCTTTCTTTTCTGAGTTATATGTCAGAAAGTCATAGAAAATAAGCAATCAGACATTTTTAATTTTTTAAATTCTTTCTTCCCAATTACCTTCCTCAATCTCTAATGAAAGCCACTTTTTTTTTCTCTAAAAGAAAATGGCCTCTAAACGACTAGCCAGCATGTGCAGAGACAAACATCTGGAAGCCAGATTGGAACTCATGTTTTTTAATGCGCTCTGCTGCAGCAAACTTCAGTGAATTGAAAGTGAATTGAGTCAAAGACCCACAAAGAAGAACATGGAGGCAAGAGACAGACTGAAATTTTACCGAGGTTAAAAGTGTTGTTTTCTGTTATTTACTTCTTGTATTTCCCTGTTCTCCTATGTTCCTTTCTTCCTTGGGCCTCACTTCAGTTTAGAGCATCCTGTTGTAGTTTAGTGATAATTAATGCTTGCAACCACGAATGACACTTTTCTTCAAATGGGTGGATAGAATAGTTTAACCGTATGAGTACTCCCCTCCTTTGTGTACATCAAGATATGATGCCTTAGACTGGTGTTCTCAATTTGGGTATTTGTGACATTTGGGGTTGGACAGCTCTCTTTTGAGGTGCCTGTCTTGTACCCTGCATTTGGAATGTTTCTTGGTACCCATCATTTCCACTCTGGAGATGCCAGAACAATAACCCCTCCAAAAAAATTTTCTCCAAGAATTGCTAACTTTTCCAGCCCAAACCTGCCTATTCATTTATGTCTACTGATTTATAATAACATATTTCTTAGTACTCTAGGTTTACCATGACTACAATTAATTAAAATATAAAACTTTTTTTCTCAAAGTCTTGAGCTGGATACTTTGATTCATAAGTCATAACTGGTTTCATATCATTTTAAATGTTCTTAACATTCTTCTACTCATGTCAATACCTAGTTCTTATGAAATTAAGGTGTTGTCATATAAATGTCATGTCACTGCCTAGCTTGAACCCATGAATGACTGGGCATGGTTCCCATCACCATTTCTTCTGTCGTCTATCTAGTGTACCAGCCTACGGCACGGTCACAATTGCAGCATCTGCATTTCCTCCCTTGTTCTTTGAAAGTAACCCCATCTTCTATCTATTTTCCATTCTGCTTCATTCTCAACTTTTTGTTTTGTTCTCTCGCCAATCTCTTTTTTTTCCCAGGGTTTCATCAAGAATCCCTGCTGTCTTTGGTTTAAGCAGCCTATTATATGGAACAGTATCAAAGGCTTTCTGAAAATTGAGATTATCCATGTTGCATGCATTACCATTCTCCAACATGTCTGTAAGCTACTCCAAAGTATACAAAAGAACCAGTGAAGTTAGATAGATAGCATCTTTCTGCAGAAACCCCCTTTGCCCTTATCCTTTCTTAAGCCAAAAGACCAATCTGAATGGGAGAGATACTTGTTGAGTGTGTTTTTAATGCATTCCAAATATTTACATGTTTGGCATCCTGTCGATCCCCATCTGGCAGGCTGATAAAATTGTTCTTCTGGAAATCATGGAGATTTGTAGCCATCGCTTGTGTCTTCTCCAGATACTGTTGGCTTTGGCTAGTTCAGAGTTAACTACCATTTACTGAACCCTTACCAACAGCTTGTACACAGTATCTACCTGATCTTTATGAATACTGCATGCGGTAGGAGTGATTTGTTTCTTCCCTTTACAGATACATGAAAAGGGTCTCAAAGGCTAGGGTCATAAAATAAATGGCACACTCAAATTTAAATTTGGATGTTCTGACTTCTACTTTGGTCTCCCTCCTCCACAACAATAGGAAGAACAGAGTCTTGAGCCCAAGGCACGAGTTTCTCATTAACTACCACCATCTTCGTTGCTCAAATTGTGGGCCTTTACTAGCAACTTCAGTAACACCTGTATCAGTTACTTTTCTGTTGCTGTGAGACAACACCATAGCCAAGGCAACTTAGAGAAGATGGGCTTTATTTGGCCTCGTCCAGAAGGATAAAAGTCTGTAATGGCGAGTGGTATGGCGTCAGGTATCGTGGCTATAGCAGAAAACTGAGAGCTCACTAATATCTACAAGCTAGAAGCAGAGAGAGCAAACGGCAAGGCGGGAAATACCTTAAAGTCTCAAAGCAGGCCCCCACTGACATACTTCCTTCAGCACGGCTACATCTACTAAGCCTCCCACACAGGACTACCAGCTGGGAACACGTGTTCAAATGTCTAAGACTGTGGAGACTTTCTCTTTCACACCAGCACAACACCCGTGTTCTTGTTAGAAATGTAGCATCCTGAGTCCTTCCCAAAATATGATGCCTCAGAACTGCCTTTCAAAAAGACAGTGGCCATTCCTACATAGAGGAAATTGAGAAGCCCTGCAGTTAGGTCGTGTTCATATGGAAAAAGGATTGTCCAATTGGTCTCTATGCTATGCCCTCTTCCTTTTGCCACTGTTGACCCTTCTCCACCGTAGCACAGCCTGATCAGGTATCTCTTTGACATTCTTCCTCATATTATAGGTCCAAAAGGACTGAACATAAATTTCAACTTATTTACCAACACTGATGAATCCCAGTTTGTTTCTCTAGGGCTTTGTATTGAGGATTATGAGGCTCTGTTTGACCTAGGCTTTTAAGAGTCTGATGTTTGCCATGACTTAGGAGGAAAAAGAAAAAGTATGCATGCCTTAGGATACCATTCTTATTCTAGAGATTCCTTTCCTGTCTCAACATCTACACTATTTTGATACCAACATTAAGTAAACAACGGCATAGAAAATTTGATGAGACAATTCTGGTAGATGCTTGATCTGTACTAAAGAAAATTTTATAGTTCTGAAGTGACTGTATATTGTGATAAGGCTCTTTAATTCGTTGTGAGGGGCTGGGGAGATAGCTCAGCAGGTAAATGTGCCTGCCATGTGTCTTAGTTAGGGTTTCTATTGCTGTGAAGAGATACCATGATCTTGGCAACTCTTATAAAGGAAAACCTTTAGAGTTGGCTTACAGTTTCAAGTAAACCTTCTCATCACATGAGATGCATGGCAGTGTGCAGGCAGACCTGGTGCTAGAGAAGGAGTTGAAAGCTCTACATCTTAATACACTTCCTCCTACAAGGCCACACCTACTCCACCAAGACCACGCCTCCTAATAGCGCCACTCTCTATGGGCCAAGCATTCAAACACATGAGTCGATGGGGGCCAAAGCACTGCACTCAAACCACTGCACCACGAGTCTTAGCTAGGAGTTCTCTTGCTGCAACTAAACTCCATATCCAAAAAGCAAGTTGGGGAGGAAAGGGTTTATTTGACTTACACTTCCACATTGCTGCTCATCATTGAAGGAAGTCAGGAAAGGGACTCAAGCAGGGCAGGATCCTGGAGGCAGGAGCTGGGATTGGGGCCATTGTGTCTGCTTTATGTGACGCTAGGGATCAACATTAGGGTAGGCAAGCACCCTCACAACTAAGCTCCATCTTCAGTCTTTGAAAGTGAGTCTCTTAAGATAGGTTTTTGTGACAACACAGGATTCCTTGGGGATCTTGATTCTATCCTAGTCCATCAATATGCAATAGATACACAGGGGCCATGATGAGCATTATAGGCCATGTAATATTTGCACATCTGTAATACTTTGAATATATGAAGTTTAAATCCCCAATGGCACAGTGTTAAGATATGGGACTATTCCTTTACCTATATTCACATGTATATGTATGTAGCCACACATATATGTGTATGCATGTGGAGGTCCGAGGGTATGTTGGGAATCATCTCTGATTTCTCTTCCACCTTATCCATTGACACATGGCCTCTTATTTAAAGACGAAGTCTGCCAATATGACTGGTATCACTGGCAAGCATAATCTGGGAGCCCACTGTTTCGTCCCTGCCTTCCAAGGCTAGAATTACAAACCAGTCACATTGTATACCTGATATTTACATGTCGCGCTAGTTAATTTTTGTCAACTTCAT